AGGCGTAGAGAAACACTTTCTTGGCCATCGAAAATTGCAGAGGAATCGCCGCTCAGCGGCAATGCTGCCTTGGCTTCGGCGAGAATATGTCTAACCCATGAAGAGGGATTGTCGCTTAGCGACGATGCTGCCTTGGCTCTGGTGAGAATATTTCTAACCCCAAGAAGTAGAAGGGGAAACCTAGAGCAAGGGACAAAGACAATGTTGAAGCCGGAAGAGTCGCCACATTGGGCGAAGGAGCCAATTTTGGCGAGAAGGACAGTCGGAAGAGTCGCCTCATCGGGCGAAGAAGCCAATTTTGGCAGGAAGGGTGGCGGCAACTTGGTTGGCGAATAGGCCAGTGCGGCACCCAGATTCCGAAGGTAAATCTCTGCAAAAGGTTGATAGGTTTAGGTTAGGGTTTATGTGAAGGATGAAGGTTGATTGGGAAGAAAATGAGAGAGACTATATTGGCCAAGGGAAAAACCAATTTGGTTGGAAAAGGTGAGGTTGTATGTACAGAGTATGACGAAAAGTGATTTGGAGGTCAATAGGGTGGAGCCGAAGAGTAATCAATCGGCTCCGACTACGGCAGCCATGAAGACTGCCCCTGCGGTGTCAAAACCAGCAGGGGTGGTGGAGAAGAAGATTAGAGGATTCAAAAGCCATTGAAAAGAAAGGATCAGGGTTGTTAAACCGAGAGGGCTCTGATACCATGTGAATGTTTGATTAATCCACCACACCTAAATGGTGTGAAAGTTATCTTATTTATAATCAAATGAATTACAAGAATATGGAAATAGTAATAAATGGAAATAACAATAAATGGAAAGATACCTATGAAATATTTGCCTTATAATAAAATATCAAATATAATATATATGGTAAACTATAATTTATTACTAAATATCCTTAATACAGGAGATCTTGTAGGACTGAGTACAATGAGTACCTGGGCCAATTCGTGATGAAACGGGATCTTCTGGTCCGGCGGAGACTCGTTGGCGGTGAAAACCCGACCAACAACCCTAGTTCGAGGAGCTGCGCCTCCGACGTACGGAAACTCCTCGAAACCAAAGGACTCTACGACGTCATTGAAGTCAGATGCTGCATCAACCGGAAAACCCCTGAAGAGTACTGCTCCGGATTTGAGAATCAGCGAATCGAGTAATGGTTTCTGGGCCTTGATGGCTCGAGTGAAGGATGAGATGGTGAAAGAAGCTGAAGATGGCGATAAAACTAACGGGAAATAGCTTCCATGGTAGTGTTTCTGGTGCGGAATTTGAATTTCCATGAAATTATCTACCGCCATGGTAGTTTCCGATGAAATTACGGGAACTTCAGCCGCCGCCGCCGCCGCTTGGATTCTGGGTTTGGGTACACGGTGGCACTTGTTATTCACGCGCCGGTTGTTGACGTTCCGCGGTTCTTGCAATGGAGGGAAATGCGTTGGCAGTTTGCCGGGATTTCACCTGGACGCCGTGTTCGTCTAAGTTCCAGAAGTTGGACGACCCGCGTGTAGGGCTTGGGCCTTGGCGACTGATGCATTCAATTGGGCCTTGGCAGATTCATCAAATTTAAGCCTAATGTTAAGCCTTTACAGATTATATTAAGATACAGATTTGAGTAAATATCTAACTGGAGACCCTTTTTAGAGCTCAAACTCGAGTGAATGTTGCTCTTTTTTTCTTCTTTTAACTCATTCTTCAACGGTGGGTGGTCATGTTCTTTTGTTTCCATGATCCCTCTGAAGTAATCAACATAATCTAATTCTTTTTTCTCTAATACTTTGAAAGCTTTTTCAAATTTCAAGGCATGATCAAGTATAATCTAATTCTTCTTCCTCTCATATTTTGAAAGCTTTTTCAAATTTCAAGGCATGATCAAGCATCAAATAGGAGGAATTCCATCGAGTTGCCACATCCAAACGAACAAGTGCCCTGCATTTAATTTTTTCTTGTTAAACACGATCTTTAAATTTTGTCAATCTCTTGAGGATGATCTAACATACCTCACGACATTGCGAACACTAGAAATGGAGTTATGCATTTCTTTAAGCCCTTCATTCACAATCAAATTAATTAGGTGAGCCCAACACCTCATGTGTAATATTTCTACATCTAAGACAAGTGAATTCCAACTTCTAAACCTTCTCATAATATATGAAATAGCTATATCATTGGAACTTGCATTATCAACTATGATTAGAGAAAACCTCATTGATTCTCCATTCTAATAAACAACTCTCAATAATCTTGGCAATAGTCTCTCCGTTACCAACTTGACAAAAATTGAGAATTCTTTTATACAAATTCCATTCTGAATCAATAAAGTGTGCAGTGATTACCATGTAATTAATGTTCTGCAACAAAGTCCATGGGTCGGTGCTAAGACAAACCCTCCTGGAATGACTCTAAAAAAATCTTTCAACTTCGTTCTTTTCTTCTAGATAGAGAAGAAATATATCTCTTGCAATTGTTACTCTTGACGGAGGGTCAAACTAAGGACATGCAATACTACAAAACAATTTGAAACTCTCATTCTCTACAAATTTAAATGATAATTCATCCATAATTATCATATTGTCACATGTTGCTCTACATCTTTGACTAAATAATAAAGTAACAATATAACTACCCCATTTCCATCTATTGAATGTTGAACTTATAGTGGTTTGTCCTTTGTCCTCCACCTTATATGTGTATTTTCTACACTGATTTTTAAGTGCTTCCATAACGTGCTAGTTCCACAAGAATTAGTATCACAAGCATACTCCTTATAATAATAGTTGCACTTGCACCTCTTATTATTGTTCTCTAATCTTGTAAAGTAATCTCACACGGTTGATTTACTGGGTTTCTTCTTCTTAAATTCAGATTGTGTAGCCAATGATGGTATCGATGCATTATAATTACTAGAGCTACTTGCACATACAATTGCACTATTGTTTTCCATCTATAAAAAGTAACTATTATAATTTCTTTATATATATATATATATATATTCGGGTTCGACCGAGTTGACCCAATCATTTTCTTTTGGTATCCGAGCCCAACCCAAATCAGATCGAGTTAAAAAAAATGGACCCAACCCAAACTCGAAATCCAACACAACCCAACCCAACCCTTATATTTTGGGTTGGGTTCGGATTTTCGGGTTGGGTGTACACCCCTATCAAAGAGATTAGTGAAATTCTAACTTGGTTCCTTTTTTTGTTTCTTTATTGTCATGCTAGAAAAGCTCATATCTCAAGGGACATGTTAAATTGAAAGTTGTGGTTAGAGAATTCCTCGTGAGAAAACGAGCTACTGCAACTTTTCACAGTATGCAATCCTTTTTTAAAGCTCAAACTGTCGTTAGGACTCAAAGAGTTTGTAGGTTGTGGTTAGAAAGTTTATCTTGAGAAAACGAGCTACGGTAGGTTTTCACAGTATGCAGACCCTTCTTAGAGCTCAAACTGCCATTAGAACACAAAGAGTTCATCAATCTTTCGATAAAGATAATATGGTCCCAAAACATATGGTCCCAAGATTAGTTACATGTGTCCAAGGCTGTCAACAAATTCAATCTCATTAAGACATATGGTCCAAAGATTAGTTACATGTGTAGTGGTAAAAGTTGGTTAAATATTGGAAACTAACCGTCACACCTGATGAAAAGCAGATAAAAGATGTAAATATTCACTGGAAAACAAAAACATAAAATAATAATAAATAAATACAATAAAACAAAATAAATACAAGTACCTATTTTTTATATATATATAAAAGGTAACTTCCATAAAACAGTAACATTTTTAATAAAAAAAATAGAATTATATATAAATTTATTATAAAATGTTCCAAGACTTTACTCATAAAAAAAAAAAAAACTCTGATATTCGCATGAATTCTAACCTATGGACTATGGTAAATTAGAAGAATAGTTGAACTTTAATTTAGTGACAATAACTTAAGCTAATCGATTAAATGACTTTACTATTAGCATAACTATATTTGATGTTGACACTTACCTTATGGTTCTGCACGTGTTATAAATTTGATGTGTGTGAATTGTTTATGAATCAATATGACTATGATATGTTATGTATGTATTATAATATGTGAATGATATGATAACTCTTACGTTATGATGCGTTCAATGATATGTGTGAGATAAGATACGAGAAGGATGCAATAAACGTAATATAACGATATGACAAATATATGACTGATACAGCAATATAATTAGATTATGTATAGAAAATAATATGATTATGGATAGAACAATTGTTATGAACGTAATATAATTATTTCTCCAACAATAACAACGGAAACGTAATATAACCGATGTGGGACTTTCATCATCCAACAATAACAACGGAAAACAAAAACAAGAACTGGCACACTATAATTATTTCTCCACATGGGTCGGTTTAGCGAAAACACTAAGCATATAGCCTATGTTCAATGTTCACTAGACAGGAAAACGATCAAAACAAAGAGAAATGCCTCAATCCATACGCATTTCCAATTCGAAGATGAGATCCTCTCGAAGATTTTGAGAATGAAAATGATAACAAATCCATCGTACAGTGAGCTCCTAGAAGCTGAAATCGAATTTAGAACTCGAAAAACAAATTTTGTTCTTCTTCTTCTAGGAAACCTTTTTATAGCTCTTCCTCAAATAAATCTTCTTACATACAAACGACCTCTTAACAAAACCGGAAACAAACACGAGAACTCGCACACGATAAATATTTCTCCACATCGATCGGCTTAGCAAAAACACCAAGCATGTAAGCCTCCGTTCAATGTCCATAGTAGCACTAAGTAAAGAAAATATGACATTATTGAATGCACCATTTGTCCACTATGGATTGTTTTGCACCATTCACCAAAGTGTCTTGTTATTGGATGCTCGATTGAACGCATGCATAGTTTTAGATTCTCTTTGTTTTAGGTTGCTACGAGTACTCATATGCATATGTATATTGGTTCGCTACATGTTCTAAATGAAACTGACGGTAAAAAAATTTAATAAATAAAGAAACACACACCAAACCTTTATAACAAAGTAGAATAGAAAAGGAACAGAGTTGCAGTGGTTTGTACAATGATCAAGTCTAAGTCTAGTTTCTATACAGATCACCATGCTTCTACCAAGCCAACCTGTAAGGTGATATTGTTTTCATCGCTCAGTTTAGAGACCCCTCATTTGGTGCTTTAAGTCAACTACAATAACTGAGATGTTATCGCCACTCAAATTACTAGCTTCCTTGCGTATTTTATTTGCAGCACATTGTGCTGGATAAATTACATTACCAGCTCCACCAACCCCCAACTTCTTGCGTTGCCTTCTCAGTACGCTGCAAGCCATCTTCATCACATCATCGTTGGATAACACATCCCATACTCCATCACTTGCCATAATCAAACACTCGTCTTCCTCGCTCCTCGATGTGAACGTAATCTCCGGTTCAAATATAATCCACGGTTTCAAGTAATGATCACCTAATCATAAATATATTCGAACAAAATTAGTGGATGACTAGTTATTGTTGGATGATGAAAGCCCCACCTTGGCTAATTTAGGGAATGATCAAAGAATACTCTCTCCATAGGTATGAGGCTTTTTGGGGAAGCCCAAAACAAAGCCATGAGAGCTTATGCTTAAAGTGGACAATATCATACCATTGTGGAGAGTCGGGTTGATGACTTGTTGGAAAAATATGAAGCTATGGGCTAGAAGAAACCTATTGCTCTGGTGATTGCTAGCACTCCTTCGACCCTAGGGCAGCCTACAAACAGAATTTTCGCTCCTCCCTTAACAAGTCTATCATATTCATCTGGCCTGCTAATCTGCATCAGAAGAGGGAAAGTTGTATGAATCATAATATTAACTAAAAACATTAAAGAATTTGTGCAGCCAAAGATAAAGCTGATAAAGCATAACTTAAATAAAGGCATAATCTAATTAAGAAAATACTAAATTTGGGAGAATTGTAATTGAACCTTGTGGTCAACTGTCAAGGGAATGGCTTGATTCCCACGACAAAGCAATGCTCTAGAGTCACCACAGTTGGCAACAATTATTTGGCAAGCTGACAGAAGAACAACCAAAGCGGTAGATCCAACTGAATATGGGGCCAGAGTCTTATCCTTGAAGGCATCATCAACCCTCTCATAAGACCTCGTCAATGCCATTTCCCATCGCTCTTGCTGACCATTTTCAGAAACCCATCTGTTCCACTCTTCGGCTAATAGTTCATGGAACTTCTTTGAACAATAATTACTCACCTGAAATCATCGTTAAACATTGATAAAATAATACCATAATTGGTAACAAAGCAGAAATGGCCACAATAAAACAGCTTGATTTGGCATGCCTCCTTCTCGTTAGCGAAACTAATGAACGGACCTCTATCTCGAAGCAAAATATGTCACGCGTATACTCGTTTAGTCATGAACCTGTGTCAATCGATTGTTATCAAACGCCTTATTGACTCTAAGTTCATTGCCTTCGACAAATTAATCATAATTCTAATTATCTCAAATGTGGTTGCAAAGCAAACTAGAGGTCATTAGTGAAGCTTCAACCAAACCTCCTTTTTATATAGTTCTTCCTCAACTAAATCCTCCTACATGCAAATGATCTCTTAATAATCGGAAACAAACACAAAAACATGCACAGATACATATTTCTCCTCATTGATCAGTTTAGCGAAAGCACTAAGCATATAGCCTCCGTTCAGTGTTCAAAGTAGCACTAGACCAAGAAAACGAACCGATCAAAACAAATAGAAATACCTCAATCCATCCACGTTACAATTCGAAGATAGACACTACGAAGAATTAAAATGATAACAAATAAATAGAAATACCTCAATCCATCCACATTTCTAATTCGAAGATGAGACACTAACAAGAATTAAAATGATAACAAAACCATCATAGATTCCCAGTAGGTTGGATGAGATCTAGTCCAGACCAGGCCCAGGCCCAGGCCCATTTTAAAAACAACCAAATCTGATTTATGGGCCGAATCATCCAGGTTTGGGCCTAAGTATGAGCCATTAATATTATTTTTCCAAAAATGCCCCTCGTACCCTCCTTCCAAAATAAAAAATTCATTTTTGGCTCCATCTTAAACTCATGTTTTAATTTTTTTTTTCACATGCTATAATTTTACTTTTCATAATTAATCCATTTTATAAAAAGTAAAATTATTTGATGAGTTAGAGTTAGGAATATAAATGAAAGAAATAATTAACTTTTTGAAAGGAACAGATTTCGAGATTCAATCAATTACCATCATCAATCCTCAATCAATTACCATCAGTTGCATCACTACTTGATCGGTAAGGAAAGTGTCTCAAAGCATGGGACAAAGGATCAAACACTTTTGATTTTACTTCTGGCACCACCACAAATCGGATTCTGGTAGGTTGGATATGAGAGCGAGAGTGATGAAAAAAATTATAGGTAGATACTTTATTAAGAAACTTGGAGAGACTTGGAGAGACCCCACTTGATTCCGCACCTATCATACCATCACTTTCTATTTACTATAGATATCACATACAAAAAAATCTGGGATTTTAAAATAAATAAATAAGTATATTTATGAATCATTTTGTTTAATCCTAAAAAAATTAGGTATTTTTTTCGTATTTTATTTACTTGGACTTGTTGGGAAGGATTGATGTGAGGATGAGGCATTAGCATACTGACTCGCCTTATTCCTTCCCTTTTTTAGTCCAATCTCGAATGGAACTCTTTTTTTAGGATTGTTACAACATATTTTTTTACTCAATTTCGAAACGAAATAAGAAATTAATAAAAAAAATGGAAAGAAATAGATAATTCGTGTATATATATATATATATATATATATATATATCCTGGTTTTGTTCTTAATTATAGGTGGTGTTTGTGTATACTTGTAAAGTGAGCTGCATGAGGGAGATTTAAATTGCTCCGTGGTCTATCTACATGAGGTTTTATCTTCAAAATTGTATGCAAATTGTGAATGTTTGATTAATCCACCACACCCAAATGGTGGTGAGAGTTCTCTTATTTATAATCATTTACAGAATACAGAAATAAGGTAAATTACAAATAATAAGGAAATAGCGATAAAAGGAAAGAATAATAAATGAATACAATATATTTGCATTTAGTAAAAGAGAAAATATGGTAACCCGTAATGTAAGGCAAATATCTAGATATTTGCCTTAATGAACGGTCAACTATCCTTAACACCCCCCCGCAAGCTGAGCGTCGGATTTGAACGAACATGAAGCTTGGATCTGAAAAATTCAAAGAGAGGTCGAGAAATACTCTTTGTGAAGATGTCAGCAACTTGGAGATGAGAGGGTACATATTGTGTACGAAGTTTGCTAGCGATAACAAGTTCTCGAAGGAAATGATAATCTAGTTCAACATGCTTGGCCCGCTTGTGAGAAACAGGATTAGAGCTCAAAAAAATAGCACTTTTGTTGTCACATAAGAGTAAGGGCTGCTGTGAAATAGGGACCTTGAGGTCATGCAAAAGATGCGTAACCCAAAGAAGTTCAGCAGCAGTTGTGGCAAGAGCACGATACTCAGATTCACAGCTGGAGCGTGATACAGTAGGTTGCTTTTTGGCACTCCAAGAAATGAGATTGTTACCAAGATAAATAGAATAGCCGGATGTAGAACGACGAGTATCGGGACAACCAGCCCAGTCAGCATCCGAATAAGCGACTAGCGTACTAGGAACAGTGGATGGACGAAAGATAAGACCAAAGTGGAGTGTTCCTTTGACATAGCGAAGAATACGTTTGACAGCAAGAAAGTGATCTGCAGTAGGGGCATGCAAGAATTGACTGACAGAATTGACAGCATAGGCAATATCTGGACGCGTGATAGTCAAGTACTGAAGGGCGCCAACAAGAGATCTGTAGAGAGTAGGATCAGAGAAAGGAGAACCATCAGCAGTCAGGTGTTGAGAAACAACCATGGGAGTGTGAACTGGTTTGCTATCGAGCAACTGAGCACGAGTAAGAATATCTCGAGCATATTTTAACTGACTGATAAAGAGACCATCAGGAGTGGGTGAAGCTTCAAGACCAAGAAAGTAACTGAGAGAACCCAAATCTTTGGTAGCAAACTCAGAATGAAGCTTGCGAGTAAAGCTGTTAATAAGAGATGAGTTGTTGCCGGTAACAATAATGTCATCAACATAAAGAAGCAAATAGATAAGGTTAGATTGCTGATGAAAGACAAAAAGGGACGTGTCAGCGCGACTACAAGAAAACCCAAGTGTGAGAAGAAATGAGCTAAAACGCTGAAACCAAGCACGAGGAGCTTGCTTTAAGCCATAGAGAGCTTTCTTTAATAGACAAACATGCTTTGGAAATCGAGGATCAACATACCCAGGAGGTTGTTCCATATGAACACGTTCAATAAGCGTTCCATTGAGAAAAGCATTCTTGACATCAAGTTGTCGAAGAGGCCATTTATTTGTGACTGCAATAGAAAGCACAACACGGACAGTGGTAGCTTTGACAACTGGACTGAAAGTGTCAGTGTAGTCAAGACCAGGAACCTGAGTATAACCTTTGGCAACGAGACGAGCCTTGAAACGCTCGACGGATCCATCGGGCAAATATTTAATACGAAACACCCATTTAGAGCCCACGATGTTGGTGTTGGCAGGGCGAGGAACCAAAGTCCAAGTATCATTTTGTTGTAACGCTCGAATTTCTTCATCCATGGCAGCCACCCAAGCAGGATTCTTAGCCGCAGATTTGAATCCTTTTGGCTCAGTGGATGCAAGAAGAGCAGAGAGAAGTCCAGATGAGCCCAACATACCAAGATTTGCTGGATGACGAGTCTTGAATATACCAGCTTTGGCGCGTGTGATCATAGGATGAGTGCCCAAAGAAGAGAAATCAACAGGAGGTTCAATAGAGGTTGAATTAGAAGTCGAGGGTGACAAAGTGGAACCTGCAAGAGAAGTATCAACCTGCACAGACTCATCTACAAGGTCAGAACAAATATCACACGGGGATGAACTGGATTGAGGAATGTGCGGTGATGAAGTGGTAGGGGGGGATGAATCAATATGATGAAGATGTGGTTCCAAGAAATTTGAAATAGGAATAGTGGAAAGAGGTTGGGCTTGGGAGCTAGGGATAGCAGGAAAGTGAGTTTCATCAAATTGAGCATGGCAGGTGATATATAGCTTAGTGGTGGCGGGATCAAGACAGCGGAACCCTTTATGAACAGGACTATAACCCAAAAAAATACAAGGAATGCTGCGGGGAGAAAGCTTGTTAGGCATATAATCACGCAAATAAGGATAAACACGACAACCAAAGGGATGAAAATTGTCATAATGTGGAGTGTAGCCATAAAGGAGTTCAAAGGGTGACTTACCTCCAAGAAGTGGAGTAGGCAACCGGTTGATAATATAAGCTGCAGTGCTGAAGGCGTCAACCCAAAAACGAGGAGAAAGATGAGAGTGAAAGAGAAGGGCCAAGCCAGTCTCAGTCACATGACGATGTTTTCTCTCAACACGACCATTTTGAGCAGGTGTATATGGACAAGAGAGTTGATGGTGGATGCCAGAATTACGTAAATGAGTTTTGAAACAAGTACTAGTAAATTCGGTACCACCATCGCTTTGAAATACCTTGATACGAGAAGAATATTGATTTTCCACAAATTTTTGAAATTGAAGAAAAATATCAAAAAAATCAGATTTAAATTTTAAAGGGTAAAACCAAGTGAATCGAGAATAATCATCAATAAAAATAGCATAATAAAGAAAACCCGAATTTGATTTGACGGGAGAAGGACCCCAAAGATCACAATGAATAAGATCTAACACATGAGACGACCTACGTTCATTGCGGGAATAAGGCAATCGATGGCTTTTCGCAAGCTGACAACTATTACATAATGATGGAGAAGGCAATAAAGACGTAAGAGAAAGATGACCTTTTTTATTTAAAAAAGAAATAACAGAATGATTCACATGACCCAGACGAGCATGCCATAAATCATATGAAGCACGTAAAGATTTGTTTTTAAGGGCTGAAATAAAAGCAGAGTTTCCGCGCTCCAGCACATATAGCCCTCCATCTCTTTTACCGGTTGCCACCACCCTTCCTGTTTGATGATTCTGGATAGTAATAAGATTATTAGTAAATGTAACGGAGAGAGGAAAATCAGACGTTAATTTACTTATGGAAAGAAGATTTTTAGTGAGGTGAGGGACAACCAAGACATCTAATAAGTGAATATTTGGAACAGGAGAAAGAGTACCGATGTGGGTAATGGGTAGGGATGCACCGTTTCCTACAATCACAGAGTCCTTACCCGTGTAATTTTTAGACTGATCCAGAATTGATGGGTCGGCAGTCATATGGGCCGAAGCTCCAGTGTCCAAAAACCAATCAGCAGCATCGGGTCCAGCAATAGAACATGACGTGTTAAAGGCTTCAGCAAGGTGAGCATGAGAAGAATCAGGTCGAACATACCGTTGGTTGCAGCGGTCAGCATAATGGCCCTCTTTGCGGCATATTTGGCAATGAGGTGGTCGACGACCCTGACTTGAGTGGGTTCGTCCTCGATTAGAAGAGTTGTTTTTGTGAGAATAAGAACGACCTCGCTGATTGGTAAAGGAAGCAGGGTGACTTTCATGGGTGCGGCCACGATTAGTGGCTATGAATGCTGTAGGAGTGGAGTCAGAGGACTCAAGGGAGCGCTGGAACAACTCAAAACTTTCAGTTTTAGAGACTAGATCTGCAAAACAGGGGATAGGGGTGAGAGCCATCTGAGCAGTAGAAAAAGCTGAAAATTCGGTGCCGAGTCCACGAAGGAACCAATGCACTTTATCAATGTCCTCGACGGGTCTGCCAATGGCATGAAGTTGGTCACAAATTTTTTTGAAGGCACGGGCATACTCAGCAACAGGTTTTGTGCCACGTTTCATCAACTGCAAGTCATCCTTGAGTCTCAGTTCACGAGCTTTTGACTGATGGCTGTACGTAGTTTCCAACGCAAGCCAAACATCACGTGCAGTAGAGAGACCAACGACAACAGCCATGGCTTCCTCAGTGAGAGAGGAGAGCAGGAGACAGAGAAGTCGTTGATCGGCTGCTCTCCATGCCAAATATTTGGGGTTGAATGTTGAGGAGGTTTCTGGTTCAAAGCGAGGTGGTGGAACCATAGTTCCATCGACATAGCCCAGCATGTCTTGACTCTCAAGAAGAGGGAGAAGTTGGCTTTTCCAAAGAAGATAATTGGAGGAAGAAAGTTTGATGGTGATCATATGGATTAGAGTATTGAAAGGAAGAAGATGATAACAAGATTCGGAAGCCATAGAGAAGAAAGGATCAGGGTTGTTAAACCGAAAGGGCTCTGATACCATGTGAATGTTTGATTAATCCACCACACCCAAATGGTGGTGAGAGTTCTCTTATTTATAATCATTTACAGAATACAGAAATAAGGTAAATTACAAATAATAAGGAAATAGCGATAAAAGGAAAGAATAATAAATGAATACAATATATTTGCATTTAGTAAAAGAGAAAATATGGTAACCCGTAATGTAAGGCAAATATCTAGATATTTGCCTTAATGAACGGTCAACTATCCTTAACACAAATAAGTGCTTTCAACTAATTAGAGATATCAAAAAAAAATACCTGAGGGCCTCCATGACCATCGAACAAGCCAAAATAATGAACTAAAGGTTTCTCTTTCACGGACCCGTCATCTTTCCATCTAGCTGGAGAAAGAAACTCCGGAACAATGGCAATGGCATCCTCCATTGAAGTTCTACGTCCCTTGTCCAACCCAAAACCCCACGAAATTTCACAACTACCGCGTCCATTGTCCATTGCACTCATCGAGCTACCGTCACTCCCACGAGTGTCCTTCCGGCAGCGGCAGCGACCACAACAACTTCTATTAATGATTCACCGGAGTTGTTGATCATAAGCACTGAAGCAACACAAGTTAGGTGTTATAAAGATAAGTTAAGGTAAGAAAGAATATACAACTATGGAGAAGGGATTTTTGCTGCAACGCGTGGAAGAAGGGATGAACATACATGGCAATATGGAAGAAGGAATGAACATACATGGCAATATGGAAGAAGGGATGAACATACATGTTAATTGAAAGCATAAATTTGTCATAGAAAAATGGAAACAGGTGTACAACAAAAAGCATAAATTTGTCATAGAAAAATGGAACAGGTGTACAACAAAGGAACTTGGCTTTTGAAGGGCTTCCCCCTTTATTTAAGGAGGCACCAGCGCATACCATAGATGTGTGCTTGTGTGAAGATCGCTTTAGAGTCTAATTTCTAAATTTTCATGAAACGACTTACGGTCAATAATCCTCACAAGAAAGATAAATAAATAGTTTTTCATCATGCCTAAATAACCTGCAAATCAGAAGGGGTAGTTTGTATAATAATGTCGTAGATGAGTTTTAGCTTGATAATTTGAACAAGAACAAGAAGCTCCCTTACACTCATGTATGTCTATTCTTAGCTCGAGAATTTGAACAAGAACGAGAAGAACAAAGAAGCACTCTCACACTCATGTAAGCTCACACTCGTGCAAGCTCCCCGTTGAAGCTCACTCCCAAAGTGTCAATTCAAGGCTATGGAGATGATCACGATAACACTAGAGAGATGTGTATTAATTTAATGCCTAAAAAAGGTACAGAGATTAAGTTAGGATCTCCTTATTAATATATTTATTACAATATCTACCTGTTACAGTTACAAAGAATACATATACTTTAAGAACTTTCTCTGGCCTACATTATCATTAAAACATCCACACTACCAAACTTTCTATGAAAAACAAAACTAATTACGGGTGTAATTTTTCAAGGAAATCTCACGATGCATGAAGACTGCTCCCTTCTTGTTTCAAAGAGCTTTGTTTGTGTCATTGTCGCCCTTGTTTAACTCCGAACGACTGACTCGAGCATTTGGATGAAAAGCTGACAGTCGTCTTGAGGGTTCGCTTATCAATTTTAAGGTCAGAGGTGAAGGCTCTTTATGCTCCCTTTCGTGCTCTCGTAGAGTGAGTTGAGACATGCCAACTAGTTCATCAACGTTGACAGGTTTCTTTGGCACAACTGGAATTGGCTTTAGTACCTCATGATGACACATTTCTACACCCTTTTCTTCTTCCATTGGGACTGTACTTGGTGCCCAAATAGAAAAAGGAACAGGCACGTAAGCCGAGATGTATCCCGGTATCATAGGCGGGAAACCAGCAACTTCCATCTTGGGTGCATCAAGTTCTTTACCATTTTCTTCAACTGCAGTTTCCATGATATGGAACTCTGAGTTAAGTGAGAGATTTAGTGAAGGTTGTGAACCAGTGTTCTCTGTTTCTTTTGCCTGATAACCATGTAAAACTTCATCTTCTGGCGCAGGCAGCAGATCAGTTTCCTGAAAGACATGAAATAAAAGAACAAAATCCTTATCAAGTATAAATGGTACCATGCTAACAGATAGGCGCGCTGAGACCCAATAGCAGATGCATTATGAATTGCTGGCACGAGGATCACTGATCTTTCGATTACAGTACAAGACGTGATCACAGAAACATGAAAAGAAATTTCAACAGAAACTAAAATGCAAAGTCAACAGGTCTGCCAGGCACCAAATGTAAACTAGAAAATATAAGAGTTCAAAACAAACCGTCTCTGGAACCATGTCGAAAAGGCTTGACCTACGCTTTCTTCTTGTTGCGTTACTCAGCCGAATGAAATACTTCTGGGCATGGCTTGCCACCTGAGTTGGAGTCCTTGTAATAACAAAATTCCGAGAAATCCCACGCCAGTCTCCTTTCCCCAGTTTCTGAAGACCAAATAAGAATAATCGATGCTCCTCCTCTGTCCATGGAACACCTGAAAACGAATTCTAAGGTATCAAACATCAGTAGTATAAGACCTGATCCAATTATTGGAACTTAAATCCATTATGAGAATATGCAAACTGTTTGATCACTTTTGTCAAATTCCATTGGCCAACTTGAGAGATAAACCTCAATCTCTTTCGATCAAAAAATTGTAGACTCGACATGAAAACACATCGACTTTCTGGCCTTTGGGGAGTTCTACAAATGCTGATTCTTCAAAAAGAAAGTTGAAACAGAGACTTTTACCTACCAAAACTATAATAGACTACACCAATCAAACAAGAAGAATAATAACTTTCAAATCAATTGATAATTTACCATCTAATGTCAACTTTAGGCTCTTACAACTAAGCTAATCAAACAATGTTAATGACATACAAACTCTTCAACCATCCAGCCATGTTTGCATACTAGATAGTAATTGCATGGCCCAGTCTCCACCCACTTCTTTAGCCTTACAAAGGTCTACAAGTTTCTGATTCAACATATCCTGCTAAAATATTGCAAGCAGTTACGAAACTTATACATGTATCATGCAATGCAATATTTACCACAAAATGTAACCTAAAGAAGTATCCGTCCCCTCAGACCACCTCCTAGACCTGTCGACTTAAAATGAAATTATTCCCAAATGTCAAGCCATTGAAGGCATTATTATTCCCCTCTTCAACTTTCCACAGCTATCATTACAGTAACCATTGAGAGGAAAGACACCAAACCCATATGGAAAAGCCAGTAGGCCATTACTCTCAACACATAATTAGGAAGAACTGATTCATAATTTTCTAGACATGATTAAGGGAAGTATTTGAAAAAATCTACTCCATCCACACTATCCACCAAGAAACTTGAGATCAGAGACCTCATTCTTAACAGTTCAACCACGGAAGTTACAGAAAGCAGCATAAGCCATCGGAATGAGAATATCAATGATAATACGACACTAAATTCAGGTGTAGAAATTCGCAACAAAACCAGAAAAAAAAAAAAGGACGGAACAGATCAAAAGAAGAAGAAAGAAATAGCCAAAGAAAAATTCCGAAGTGATACTAATAAAACTGATGGAGACAAGAAAAGCACCCGAAGGTGAAGCTGTGATGACAGACACAAAATCCATCACAAATATACAGCAACAAACGATTACGAAATATATCAACTAAAATCTAAACACGAAGATCACGAAATTAAACTGCCTTAATCAAATCGCACGGGAAATCAGGCACAAATTCCTCTCGGAAACAAATATTTCAAGACGAAGCTATCATGTTACAATTCTGAAACTGTTTATCAGTTACCTTTCTTCCTTTCAGCCCCTCGATTAGCAGAGCAGGATGCATGGGAAGGATCGTCGGACAGAAAGCCATCGGTATCATGAACAGCGTCGGAGTTAGGGGAGTCAGGATTCGGCGAGGCGGCGGCGGAAGAAGAACTATGGTAATGTGCAGAGAGGTTACCCATGCTAGCGCTTTTCTTGATGAAAGACCCATCGGTGAGCCTAACCCCAAAGAGCTTCACACCACCGCCACAGCCGCCGCTAGAGAGGGTACCACTGCCGACTCTACCGCCGCGGGAGGGGCAGGTGCGGGAGTTGTGGCCATTGTTGCTGCAGTGAGAGCAACGCCGAGTCATTTCGACCGGTGACCCGGCGAGTCAGGCCCCCGAGTTAGTGAAGAGAACACAAATGAGAGAAGATGGTGGAATTGAAAGAGAAAGAGAGGATTTTTGTGGTAATGTTTAGGGAAAAATCGAACTTACTCTGTTCGTTCAATCGGGAGAGATCGGCGAAACGCGGGTGTTCGTTGGTAAAGACTTTTCCAATGTGACCATTTTACCCTTGTTTGGATAACCTATTCTTTTCCTTCTAGTGTCCTCTCCTCCATCTTCTTCATCTTTTGAAAAAATTATAGTTTTGATCTTATAATAATAATTAAATACCTATTTAGTTACATTTTTCTTTTTCTTTTTTTTTTTGTTACTTATAAAACTCCAATCATCCTCACTCCGTCCTTGGTAATTGGATTTATATGTTAAGTTAGGTGACAAACGACGGATAACGACCATTAACGTAAAATATTTACCTTCCACAAAAAAAAATCTATTAGGTAAAATGTAGTTCGATCCAGTGATTATTGGTTATTAAGTAAGCCTTATAGCTTACGTATGACAAGATGTCATTTGGTGTACAAAATATGTTATGCTGTAACTCACTATAGGTGAGGTTAGAAGCCATAATTATAAATACTCGAGACAAGTACAAAACTAAATAAAGTCACGCTACGTATTCCTTGATTATATAGAAACGTAACACACACTTAAGAATGTAAGAATCTAATTCAATGTGATAATTATTAATTAAAATAATTGAATTAATATAAATAAATTTATTTTTGTTCAAAGTTATTGAGAATAATTGTTATCGTATAAAATATTGTAGTGTGGATAATTAAAACTTTTGCTAACTTATCCACTTGGTATCATTTTTAATTCACAAATATTCTTTCACTATCTTAATCTTTTTAATCACCTTTTTATTTTTTATTTTTTATTTTTTTTTAATCGTTCAACAAAGCTATAAAAATTGTAAGATTGGAGGGTAAAATGGAGAAAGATAGTTATTTTTTAAGATAAATTAAAGTTATTGTGTTATTTTAACTTAAAATCTAATATAATAATTCAATAAAAGATTCATTAGTGTAAGGTTTCTTGGGAAGCTCAAAGCAAAGTCATGAGAGCTTTTGCTCGAAATAGACAATATCATACCATTGTTGAGAGCCGTGTTTGTCCAACATGGTATCAGAGCAAAGTCATGCCTTAAACTTAGTCGTGTCAATAGATTAATTTTTAACCATAAATAACAAATTTTCACCATATATTTTTATTAATTGATTTATTTAAAAGTATTAATCATATTTTAGTTAATTTGACATACATTGCTTTTCAATATTGGTCTTGGTCATGGTCAATGTGGTTAGCATAATATAATAAATTTTAATTATTTTTTAAAATGATTACACTAGGATGAAATTATTAATTATTAATTATTATTTTATTTTAAATATTAATAACAATATTAACCATCTTAATAAATAATTAAGAGACAAAATGCATGATTAACTTAAATTATATTCCAATTAAGATTAAAGACAAACTCAAGGACATTATCCCATGGTTACTTGAATTACACTACTAATTTTGCTTTAAAATACCATAAACTCCCTTGTCCTATAGTCTTTTCTCTCTCCCTATAATTGTCGGATATAGAAGATTTTTTAGTATTTTAAACACATCAAATTTAAGGCTTATCTTATCTTATAATTTAATAATAATAATAATGTTTTGACTTGTACATCAATGTTTATATCCTTTATTAACTAGATATATATCCACTTTATGAAAAAGTAATATAATTATCTTCCCAATAATCATCCTATTCTATATTCAATTTTAGAAATAAAAGTATTTTTTTTTTCTTCATAAAAATATAACTCTTCGAATATTAAAAGTTTATTCGTACATTAGCTAAACTCGGTCAAATGAAGTAAAATTTTTCTATTTAAACGGGTAATGAGAAAGAGTAGGGAGATGTCTTTCCGTTAGCTAAATTGAGACAAACGAAGTGAAAAATTGTAACGGTCTAAACTCACCGCTAACGGATATTGTCTTTTTTGGGTTTACTCTCAAGATTTGTAAAACATGTCAGGTACAGAGAGGTATCCACACTATTATAAAATGTGTTTCGTTCTTCTCCCCAACCAATGAGGAATCTCACAATTCACCCTTGTTCAGGCTCCAACGTCCTCGCTAGCACTTGTTTCTTTCTCCAATCGATGTGAGACACTCACCAAATCCACCTCCCTTCAGGGCTAAACGTCCATACTAACACACCGCATAGTGTCTACCTCCTTCGAAAAACAACCTCCTCGCTTATATATGATCCGGTGTCTGACTCTGATACCATTTGTAATGACTCAAACTCACTACTAGAAAACACATTTTAAAGCTTAAAAGGAGAAGTCCAAAAGGAAGAGTGCAAATATGACAATATCTGCTAGTGGTGTGCTTAGACCGTTACAAAAATTCTCTTTTAGACCGAGAATGAGTAAGACTTGGAAATTGAAATATATATTAGGATATTATCTAAAAGAAAAACTTAGGATAAGGAAAAATACGTGGAAATATCTGTAAGGAATATTATCCTGCGGGCCACCGGAGGAATAAAGTAGATTGATTAGTACGGACACGTGAAAAGCGGGGCATGAACTTAGGAGTTTTATTTGGGTTGCCACGTGTCAAACACATGGTTCTGGTTCTGGTTCTTGAAGTTATTTCGACGACTTCCTTTTAGCCGTATGATCCCGTGTGAATTCTGAAACCAAACCCCACTTTTTTTTTTTTTTTTTTTTTTTGTTTATATTTTCCACGAACAAAGGGCAAAAAATAAAAAAAAATAAAAATAATCTGGTGTTGGAACTTCCACGAAGCTAGGGTAGTCATGCAGGGTGGTACTAGTCAACCACGTGACCCTGGTTCCTTCTTTATTCCGGGAAACATTACATCAGATTTCCTGATTTAAATGTAATATTTAAAGGGTATTTGAATTCCATATTAGATATTTATGTAGCACCTCTAAGCTTAGGACAAATGGTCAAATTTAATTGAATCTTATAAATAAAGCATACACGAATGTCTATAAATTTAATGGTAACCTATTTTTAATTAAAAAAAAATTAAAAAGGTAGAAACTAAATTTATAATTAAAAAGATAAGATAAATTAAAAGATTGTTTTAAAATGGTAAGATAAGGAGGAATGGAGAAAAATCAAAGGTAGGCGGAATATATAATTAAATTAAAAAATGCAAATTGGAGAGTGGAAAAAGAGAGGGAAAGCGACAGTTATGACGCAATTCCCAAGGAATGAACGATGGAGGAAGGTCTACCCGCGTGTCTGCCCGCACGTCTGCCCGCACGTCTGCCCGCGCTTCTACTTCAGATTGTAAATTTCCCTTCTTGTCCCCTGAATTAACTTCAATGGATTGTATTATTGGAAGGGTATTTGAGTCTAATTTTGAAGTAGGCCTTTGGGCTTGGCCCATCTCGTTGGGTAGTTCATTTTTCTCCCATTTAAACCTTTTTCAACCTAACCTAAAGCTAATTACTTTTTACCACCGTAACTAAACTCTACTGCCTAATCTAATTTATTACTGAGATCTCATATTGGTGGAAGAGTGGAACGAAACATTCTTTATAAATCTGTGAGACTTCTTTAATAGACGCGTTTTAAGACCTTGAGGAGAAGCTTGGAAGAGAGAGTCTAAAGAGAGGATAATAAACCTGAACTATTACAAATGGTATCATAATCCAACATTTACTAGTGGACCTCCAATGGAGTGAATAGTGAGATCTCACATTATTTGGAGGGGAGAACAAATCATGTAAACATCTCCCTCTCGAACGCATTTAAAACCTTGAGGTGAAGTTTGGAAGGAAAATCGGAAAAAAAGATAATATATTTAAAATTTAAAAATAAAATAACCTAAGTCCCAACAAAATTTCATGAAATATGATCTAAAATATTGATTTTTTTTTAAATTTATTTATAACGTTTATTAAAGAATGTTTTATGAGTAATTGAACTTGAATACAAAACTGTAATTTCATTTTTATCTATAAACTAAATTGAAATTGAAGTTAAAGCACGGAGGTTAATTTGTTTTTGTTTTTGTTTTTGCCCTCAGCGTAGGAGGGAAGTCCAAGTTCAACAAGCACGTTTCTCAGTTCGAACTTCTAATCGCTTCGTCTCTTTCCGCTCTGCATGATCTCTCCTGCTTTCGCCGATGGAGTTTAAAAGTTCGTCAAGCGATTTAGATGATTCTGTATTCGAATTCACACTTGCTGAGGTAAGTTCTTATTATGTTAAGCTCGAATTCATGTCTTTCAATCAATGCTTCCGAGTTTAGCTTCACTGTTCGAGTTATGCGCAGAAATTCCTTTCAGCATTTTCTGATTTGAGATTACCGGTTTCGATCTCGAATTCATTTCTTTCAATCAATGCTTCCGAGTTTAGCTTCACTGTTCGAGTTATGCGCAGAAATTCCTTTCAGCATTTTCTGATTTGAGATTACCGGTTTCGATTTTGTATTCTTATTATGTTAAGCTCGAATTCATTTCTTTCAATCAATGCTTCCGAGTTTAGCTTCACTGTTCGAGTTATGCGCAGAAATTCGGTTCAGCATTTTCTGATTTGAGATTACCGATTTGCATTCTATTTCGTTGTATCGTTAATTTTTCAGATTGTGGAGATGGACAGTATCTTAAGGGAATCTGGAGATCAAACACTTGGTCAACAGTTTTTCCAAGACGTTGCTCTTCATTTCAGGTAATAGAGCTGTGATTGCTTCTTTGAACCAGTATTTGTGCAATCGATCGTCGTGTCTTTCTTTTCATGCTGCTTCTTTCTTGCAGTTGCTCCCCATGGCGCGCTGAAAAATCTCCCGTCACTGCGGAACAGGTCTTTGATTTTTCTCTTATCCACATTCTATTTTGTTCGTTGTTTTACTGATTTTTGGTAGTTCTTATGTGCCCTAGGTGCAAAGCTGGTTTGAGAATCGGAAAAAGGAATCGCGTAGTAGTAGTACTAGTAGTAGCAAAAAGGCTCGCCCTCCACCTTCACCTCCACCTCCACCTCCACTGTCTTCTCCGCCTCCGACTCCGCCGCCGAAACTTTTGCTTTATCATTCGGATAGTGCTTTTTTAACTGACATACCTGCATCTGAACCACCTGATAGTTTTCCTGAATTCAAAGGTAATTTCCGCACCTCTGCCTTCCCGAATTTAGAAATACTATCTGAAATTCTTCCCCATAATGTCAATGTAGCAAGCAATTGCTGCGGTTATTGATGTATGCGTTGTTTTCTATCTTCTGGCTCTACAATGATTTTCGTTACTTTTCTTGCACGAAGTAGACTGGGAAAGGGAAGGTATGCACAGTAATTGATAACTCATTCGTGCCTAGAATTATTCTAGTTGCTGCATGCACAATGATTGGTAATTTCTTTGTGCTTAGACTATCAAGCCTTTTATCAAGAGATTTTAAGAGGAAAAATCCGTAGGTTATGAAACTTAAAATTCACAAATCATCGTTCCGACTGCACTAGTCTACGCTTAGCAGACAAGCAGGGATCGCTGTAATTCTGGTTAGTGCTTCTTGCATTACCGAGAATTTCTAGTATTTCTGCATTCTGCTGCTTATAGTATTGGTGTAGAACAACCAACTTGGGATTTCTCGTCGACAAAGCCTAACTCTGACAGTTTCAACTTTCATTTTGCCGTGTTGATGCCACGATCCTGTGATCGACCCTTTCTTAAATGATGGTATCGAGGTTGAATCTGAAAGTCCAAGTTCAAATCATAGCATGCACTTTGATCTGAAAACTGCAGTTTTTCCTTTGCATAATTTGAGCTTTGGCCAAGATACTATAATTTGCAGTTCTGTAGTAATTTTCCCTCATATGAGTGTTGGTAAACTTGAAATCTGTCCAGTTCCATTTTTAACTATTAACTTTTTGTAACATCTTCACATGAAAATTTTATGCAGGCAAGGCAACTGATCTTTCAGAATTGGCATTTGAAGCCTTTTCGTCAAGAGACAATGCATGGTGAGAAAAATTTAGAGCGGAATACAAAACTGTTACATGTGTATTATCTACAACGGAATCATATGCTCATATTCATACAAGCACGTTTTCATGGATTATAAGCTGTAATTAACACCTTGAATTCATTGGAATACATTAGGTAGATGATAACGCTTTCTAATCAGATGTAGTGTCTCGAGTTTGCTACCATAATCCTAGCATTATACAAGTGCCTTGAGTTTATTTTCATTTCACACTTGGGAAAACTAGTGGAAGACAAATCTCTAAACAAACGATGCTAACTTCCCAGCATTATTACTTGCAGTCATTCAGCACTTTACACTCTTGAACTTGATAATGATATGCCGAATATTGCCTTTCATTTCAGATCCTTTAAGAACGCATTGCAAAATTCAGTATGTAGATTACTGAGCCCCATGGAGTTAGAACAGCGTTCATAAGTAGTTGAAAGTTGACCGTAATGGTATTTACATGTCAACTTCAATACAAGTGTTAATAATAATATTTTGACTAGCATTATCTACAGATAGAGCTTTTATACTCAAATCCTTATCTTTATGCTAACGTAAACAACATGTTTCATGGTCACCGTTAGGGGTTATATTGTCCATACCATAAATCTCTAGCACTATTTCCTGCTTCTACTATCTCACAATGTTTATGTTCAGTTATCTTGCAATATGTTCAGTCAGTATCATTGTTGACATGTATTTACTATTGTTGATATATGGTATATAGCATGATTATGGGCTAATATGTTATTATCTTGTGGGAATATTTAATAAAGACATGTCTATTCAAGTTTCAACTTAATGGTTTGCAGTAAACCCATTGATGATTGAAGAAGCACTTGACTCTGCTTTTACCAAGCACTCTTACTGGCTAAAACAGTTTTGTTTAAGGCTCCATGATCTTTGCTGTGGAATTGAAGAGTCTTACTAATGTTTCTTTTGATTCCTTAGGTATGACGTTGCCTCATTCCTTACTTACAGAGTTAATTACCATGGAGAACTGGTAAGATTTTCCCACATGAATCATATACTTCTCTGGACAGTCGATGTAGACTGCAAAATTACACAGAATACTTGATAATTTTCACTTCCAGTGCTTTATTGTCGTAAACCCTAGAAAAAAGTTAGCAGATCTTTTAACTTTGAAGCTAAAAGCACTCAGGATCTGAAACTTCACAGGATGCTAGAGTTCGATATAGTGGCTTCGGAAAGGATGAGGATGAGTGGGTGAACGTGGCAAGAGGAGTGCGTGAACGGTCCATACCTTTAGAATCTTCAGAGTGTCACAGAGTAAAAGTTGGAGATCTTGTGTTATGTTACCGGGTAATTTCTATGTTATAGTTTGCTCCTTCCAAAACTGTGTTTTTATTGAGGGGATGCGCAAATGTTCAACCTCCAAAATAGTCTTATTAGTTATCGGTAATGTTTCATACTAAACTATAATGTTTATAATAGAAAGTGGGAAAGCAGTCCTAAGTGCTGATAAATGTTCTCGTATCATGTTATCTTACCCTCAGATTGTATGCCTATTTTACAGGAAGGACAAGATCATGCTCTCTACTTCGATGCATATGTTATAGAAATTCAGAGGAGACTGCATGATACTGGAGGTTGCCGATGCATATTCGTTGTACGCTACGAACATGATCACTACGAAGTATGTACTACAACAAGAACTGTCACAGTAACTATGCGAGCAACCCAATTTTGGACCTTTCTCTAACTTGCATGAAACTAATACTCCAAATTCTAATGATGCCTTCTTTGCTTAGGAAAAAGTGCATTTGGGGAGGCTGTGCTGCAGGCCATCAGCGTACAACTCAGACCAACTTTAATGTTAATGAAATGCTCGAATCTACTTTCCTCGGAAAAAAGTACATTTAAAAGATTTTGTTTGAAAAAGTTATTTGCATATGCGTCAGCTCGCAAGTGACCTGTCCATGCTTCCCTTGAGGAAATTGAGAACACTCCCTCCTTTGGTAATTATTAGGTTAAATTGCAAGTTTAATCATGGATTTTATAATTTGTCTATTTATTTGGTCTTAAGCATCTAATAGATTTTAACTTTTATGTTTATAGTTCCGCTCCACAACATTTAATGTTTTTTAGGAAATGATTGATATATTTGATACAAATTTAAATTTTATGTTTAATTGAATCAGATTCATGAATTTGGTGTAGCAGACTGAAATCTCAAAAGCTAAGTATATTTTAACTTGATTATTATGTAACCTGCACTTGAAGGGATATGTTGTCATTTGAGAAAATGGTGATCCAACAGTGGGCAGCTTAAATCGAAGAGAAGAAGAGTGGGCCCACCAAGGATCAAATTTTCAAAGAGGTACTTTATGTCTTACTTGTCTCTGCAGTGAATACATAGATATGATAACAGGAGAAAGATTATGCTAATAGGCTTAAATTATCATTAACAATGGGGCAATTTTTTCTATAAATGGCATAGTTCACCAACAACCTAACAGATAGTATCTACTTAACTACATTTTAATTCGAACTAGGTTATCAAGAGTTATTCTATATGCTTGGATACCCCCACAATGCTAAGGTCTCTCTCTACGTGTGCCTTCTTTTTTTTTTTTTTCTTTGTTAGAGAAGATACAGAAGCTCACGAAACTGTTCTTCCATAACATACAGATGCAATATAAAGGTTCTTTGCCCATTTCTCCTGCAGTAGAGATGAAAGATTTAGATATTTCAACAATGGGCACATAGTGTCGTTGAAACGTGGAGGATTAAAAGTTTCAATACCTTGACATGGGTGCTTGGAAATGCAGATGTCCGGAGAGTCTCTTGTGTTTCGTCTGCAGGTTTTCGCCTTGGCACGCTAAGAACAAGGGCTGCCTGGTCACTGGTTGCTGCAGTTGCTGTGATTCGATACCCACAGTCCCATCGACGATGAATGCCTTCACTAGGGTACAAGAAATCCAATTCAACCACCTAAAATAAAACTTAAGAATCGTCAGTTCTGTAATGCCCAGGGTTAGATGATTACTATTTTTCACTACGCTATATAAAAAATGACCTGATCTGAAAATCCTGCACCACGGGACATAACAACGCCCCACCTACTTCCTGAGGTGGCCATTGCTGTTACGTAGAATCCCTCTTTCCACTTTTTATTAATCCATTTGAAAGGAAACGAATCACTTACTTTGTACGACTGTTGTAAGTACTGGGTGCCTGGAATCGGTAAATTGAGATTCAACAACATAAATAAAATAAAAAAATGGTATCATTCTTATAATTAATCCAAAACTCTGAACCAAAAAGTAGTAAAGTACTAAAAACTGACCCTTAGACATTACAACCAATGAGCTCCCATTAATGACACCAGCTACTGCTGTGATGTAATAGTTCTTCTCCCATTGCTCCATTATCCATTCCTTCAAACACAACAACAAAGTAATCAATAATGATTTTTTTTTTTTTTTTTTTTTTTTTTTGTTACATTCCAATTACGGGAGCATTGATTTTGGACTAATAAAGGTCAGAGAGATGTAAGAGATAAAAACGAGTTGATGCTGGTTAGAAATTAATACTGCCATCTGGGAAAAAGAAAGTTACCTTGTGAAGAAAATAAGGAGAAAGTTCATAGACTTGTGATGAAAACCCAGTGCCAGCATCCATGATTAAGGCCCATAAATTTTGACATGAGGCCACACTACTTATAAACAAGCCATCTTCATTCCCTTTCTCGATATGCTGACAAAGCCTTGCATCAGCTACATTGTAGTGATACCTAAGTATCAAAATAATACATTATTTCAAACAGTTTGATACATCGACTGTTATACGAGCTAAGCATCGATATGGATCAGCAACCACACAATATTTTAACATTTCAAAATAATGTAGCAACCCCGAAGGAAACAGGAGGTTTGATTCACAATCTATCAGTTCCTGCATGAATACCTTTGCTTCATAGGCCGTCGAGCATTGTAGACACTGATCCATTGTGTTGCAGGCATGCCCATACGAACCTTCTTCTTTGGTTGTTCGTCGTCTTCTTCCTCCAAAGTCAATCTGCCTCGCTTATGCCCCACCTGACAAATGAGCTTCAGAAGATGGAGACTCAGTAAGATAGATCCCTTCCACACCCTAAATGTGTATCTAGATAATCATATCATGTTCATGAATTGTGAGAACAGGCACAAATAAAATTTTGGGAAGTATTGGTGTCAGACACATCAAACATGGATACGTTCGGACAAGCATTGGATGTGTGTCCAGCACATGAAATAAAAAGCGCTTTTTAGTTAATTTCATCATTTTTGGACACGCTAGGACACATTCGAGATACATTTTGAACACTCCTGAGGAAGAAAGAATGACTTGCTACAAAAAATGGTCCAACCCATCGTATTAAAACCCTAAATGATCAAAGAAAGAACCTAAATGAAGAGATAAGGAGATGAAGCACTAACTTAGAAAGATTGAAGATCCTTATCATCACACCCAAACTTGTGTGTTTAATAGACCATAGTACCAAAATCACCATATATTGGATTTTTTTCCCTTCATATCTTGTTAATTACTTTTAATTGAGGACAGTAAATCAGTTTAATTGAAGACAGTTTTTCTCCCACCACCAGAGCAATATCACACTATGTAAGCAAAATAACAATAATAATAATAATAATAAATACATAATTGAGGTTAGATATTGCACGATATGTCTAACTATGCATACACACATATGTAGTATGTATATTAAATAAAAAAGGAAAAAAAAAAAGCAAATGTCCTCAACGATATGTCTAACTATGCATGCACACATATATGCACTATGTCTATGTCGTGTCATATCCGTATCACATATCTATATATCTGTGCTTAAGTCATGGAAGTTGGGGAAATCATGAAATTTATGTGCCTTCTAACCATACCTTTTGAGCGCCATCTGTATTTATCGGCCTGATTTCAGGATTAGGACCAATGATTCCATCAAAAAGTGAAATGTATTTTGCATAATTAGGTTCTTCATCAAACTTCAAGTTCACCACATATTCAACAAACTGTTTGAAGGGCTGCGGGCAGAAGCAACATAAAGTCTCCGGAGAAGTAGCCATCTTCTTTTTGCAAACAAGGAATCCTTTGTTCTCCCCCTGTAACATCATGATTAAGTCTTGTTTTATTTTTTTTTAAAAGAGAGAAACATCATTGTAAAGAAAATTATATGCAGGAGATAAGGAACTACTCATCAACTTGATAAAGGGTCAACCTGATAGCCTTGCCATGGCAGCCGGCCACGAAGAAGGAAAATTAGTGTATATGCAAGAGATTCTAGGTCATCTCTGCGGCTACCAGTCCTACCCAAATGAGCATGTACACTAGCATAGCGCACTGTTCCTCTGTCAAAGCAGAACACAAATGAACCAAGACCATCAATAACAAACAGTGATTGAATACGAAAACTTCAGGATTGAAAAGAAACATAGAATAAAAACAGAATAAAGGTGTACCTGAATACATCAGGTCTCTGATCATACTCAACATGCTGGCCAGAGCTATCACGCCATCTAGTTGCTGGCAACAATAAGAAAAAGTATAGTGAAACGTGCTGCAAAATAAATAGTAAATGAAAAAAGATGCAAGACATAACATGCCTAATCCAAGATCAACCAAAAACAACTTTTTCTCATCCGGGGACCCTGAAGGACCAAGCAGAAAATTTTCAGGTTTGACATCGCCATGAATGTACCTAACAGACAAAATGATTGTAAATTAGGACTTCTTTAAATAGAAACCAGATTTGGGTAAGTGAGATAAGGTGCCATTTTTACAAGCTCACTCAGACAATAAAACAAATAAAATATCTAAATGGCTCCCAACAGAACCCTTACCCGCGAGAATGCACCTTTTCCAAAATGGATATTGCTTCAATTGCAATGCATGCAACCATTTCAACAGACATGCTGAAACAAGAAAAAGAATTTAAGTAATAAAACAAGGTTCAAATGTACATTCAGAAAAGTTTCTTTCTAACTCACGTATGGGCATTATTATTCCAGACATCCCATAAGCTTGGCCCCAGCATATCCATAACCTAAAAGATTAAAAGCATCTAATGTAAGTGACATGAAAGACAAGGAAAGAATGGTTTTCAAAACAATGAAGATGTGTCCAAAAAGAAAACCAGAGAGAAACAGATGAGAACATACCATAATATAGTAGTCGCCTTGTCTCCCCTTGAAATGCACCCGAGGTACACCATGACTACCACCAAGAGTACTGTAGAGATTGAAATAGTATAAGATTCACCAAAAGAAAATAGAGAATTGGATGAAGAGACTAGAGAGATGTGATGGCCACACACTTGTAAACTTGCCACTCATAAGGTGGTCCATAATTACATCCCTTGCTACTTCTATGCTCAAATTTCAAAGCCACCTGACATCAGAAATTTTGTTCAATGTAATATTTGGGGAGAGAGATAGGAGGGGGAACTTATGTGTGAATCGAAACTATTCTGATGTTTACCTCCACAGCACCAGGGCCAGTTCTCTCATTCGTATTAACAGTGGTGACTCGCCGTCCAACATAAACCTGTCCAAATCCACCCTTACCCAGCTTTCTATCTATCCTATAGAGCGGGGAACCACCCACCTGAATCTGCATGATTTTTCAGGGAAGAAAATTATAATGGAGTAGCAATGAACGAAGTACTACTACTCATAAAAAAAAAAAAACGTTTTCTAAAAAAACAGAGATCATGAAATTTGACTTCGGCCAACTATTGCTACACCATTCAACCAAAAGAATTTACTAAAAACTATATATTTAAAATTACAAAGCTAAAAAACCATAGCATATCCTACAAGAAGCTAGAAAACTGCCTTGCAGAGTAAAAAATAACATCAGAATGTAACAGGACATGCAAAATTTAAACATTTTTATTATTTCTCAAGTCCACAAAATAGTAATGTTCAAACAACGAAGATGTAGATGAAAAATGTACATTATTGTTCAAAACAATACTATAGGCACCACGATTGCTAATGACTAAAAGGAAAATTGTGTGGTATATCCACTTTAAGAAAACTCAAGAGGGCTAAAGAAATAATGCAGCTACCAAACGACCACATTCATCATTATCAGTAACTAAAGACATGATCATGAGATGAGCAAACAGAACATGATTGGCATACTGTACATCTATCATAATGTATCAATAAAATACTTGTCTGCAAACTTTATCCAACTACCGTTTATTCTTAATATTCCTTTCTGATAAATACAAGGTATCTGATACCAAACTCAAGTGGTGATTTTAGGTGAAACTAAGATGAATTAGGCCAAATCTATTGTCAAGGGAAGTGAAATTTCATGAAGGAAATTTCCCTAAAAGTTTATTTTATTAATGTTCAAAAAGCTTCAATACAATACAACCTAGATGTGGTTATTCACAACCTTGCTAAAGAAATGAATAACAAGCTACACTACAAAATCAAAATAAGAAAAGCACCTAGACTAATCAAGCTACACTGTATTGTTGCTTCCTGCATAAATTATCTTAATAATCCAGCACCAAATGAAATGATGGTGACCTCAACTTCCGTAATTCTTAAAGGCTATTTAGGATTCAGAAAAGTCTAATGGTAGGAATAACGCAATTGCATTAAGAAGCTGCCAGAACTCCAATCTGGGGGCTCTAAAACAACGCGTATAAATTCTGTGATTCCATTAATAACTATTCAAGGGACCGACACATAAACTGGTTCTGATCAA